CTATCTATCTATCTATCTATCTATCTATCTATCTATCTATCTATCTATCTATCTATTATATCTAATCTGTTCAGAAAAAGGCCCATTTGTGACTTCCAAGGAAGAAATGACAGTCTGAAGATGGCTCTGCAAAAAGTGGAGCCAACAACCACAGCAGAATGAAGAACTGGTGAGTACACTGGCTCTTTGATATTTCTTCTTCAAAGAGAGAACTTGAGATCACCCACAAGTGCTCCAGACAACTGCTCCCCTCAAGGAGACCAAGACAGCATGTCTGGTGGGTTGAGAGCTCTGGAAAACAAGAAAAGAGTCATCTTGCTCAAGCCATAGTTGGCAGCTTTGCAAGGACACTACGATTACATACTACCTTTCTAATCACTTTCAGAAATTGTTTAATTGCTTTTTAGCTATTAGGAACCTTTGGATCAAACAGATTTTACACATCAGATCAGTTTTCCTAAAATCCTTAGCAAAAGAAGTTTTAACTAGAAGTTCAAGAATTATATAAAATGGGGAAGGGGAATAACCAGCAGAAGGTGAATAAAATTTAATTTTAGAAAGTTACAAATAAACTAAGTGGACTAAGCACAAATGAAGCAAGATTTTAGAATTAATTATAAAGAATCCTTCTCATAGGAAAATGCTTTTGTTTTTATTTTATTTTTCAAAATTGAATTTTCAGGATAAGTAAGACTTTAAAGATTGGATATTAGAGGGAACTAACAATTACAATTAAAGGAGAAATCTCAAATGCAACTTTACAGAATGAAGCAAAATTAACATTGGACACACCAACACATATTTTTGAATCATGGATGCAGAAGTTAATTTTAAGAATGTCTGTCATAGACAGACTTTGTTTAATAAGATGTTAGGAAAGGTTTTACTTGACAAGACTGATCTGAAAGTGGATTTAAAAATGACAGGCTACAAGAATGATATGGAAAAAATCTTACACTGGACATACAAAAGAACAACTGATGGTCTTAATTTGTTATTTGTATATCCATTTAAAATTTTTTAGAGAAATCCTGGATGTTTTTCCTATGGATTTTACAAAAGAGGTTTGTTAAAGTTTTAAAGAACTTTGTGAGAAGGGACAAAGAAAAAATATAAAATCAAGTTCCATGACATCATTCAAAGGGATTAAAGATCAAGATCATTAGAAGTGAAAGGAAGGAATAAGAATCAAACAGCTGTCTTCTGGGATGTTTTATGAGTTCCCGGTCTAGTCTACTAGCACTTCCTAGTAATTTCTAATTACTAACTAGATCCAACTCTGTTTAAGCTTTTGGGGGATATCAGTCAAAATTGGGTAGTTGCTACCATCTGCTAAAACAGAGGTGGATCACGGATATATGTTCCCCCATTACCACAAGATAGGAGTGAACAAAGCATGATCAATGTCCCCAAATGGTTGTTCTTAGGTAGTACCAGTCAAAAGGCACCATGCCACTATTCCATCTTTCTTTCCTTAATGCATTTTCTTTGGTTAAAAAAAATAGTTGTAGGAAATGTGGAAAACTGATTGATGGAAAATAATATCTTCACCTTCATAAAATTCTAACTGCACACTAAAAGCATCATCTGGAAATACTTCAACTGTGAATACAGCACTAGACAAATCCCTTCTTCTCTTTCCCCTGAATTAACTACTACCATCTGGGGATAGATCTGACATAAAAATAAACTTTGAATATATGAACTCAGACAAGTTCAGCTGATTATAGATAGTATCTTTCTTCCGGTTTTTGGCACTAGCTCTGCTCACATTTGCATCTGTGGTGGAATAATGATAAAAGATAGCTGTCAAAGATCTAATGAAATCCCGCTTTCATCGGTCTCTGTTGATGGTGACCGTCCATTTCTTTCTTGAACATTTTTATGTCTCCCATTAGCCCTCCTCATGTGTAATGTATGGATGATAAAGCTTTCCAAGAGATATTATGTGTGAGCTACTGGCCTCTAAAAGTCAACAATGACTTGATGACCCATAATCAATCAACACTGGAATGCGTGATAAACACTTTCATGATCACTGCAAGTGATTCCTCTTCTCACATTTAATGCACTTCATTGGTAGGTAAGGTTAGCTGAGGGTGATTCTTCTCTTATATACCTTTGTGGTGTGTCCTGTAGTTTTTAGGGCCACTAATTTCCAGCTAAGTACATATCTGTTTGTAGCCTGAATCACTTTAATAGCACAAAAACATGATTAACACTAAAACAAAAACCAGACACATGTGACATTCCATACATATATGGAATATACCTTCCATATATATATATATATTCCTTCTCACCACACCCAATTTTTTTTCTCATAATGAGTGGAGATAAGAAAGGTGTGAAATGGATAGTGCTAACAACGCCACCTAAGATAGAGAGCAGGCAAAGAGTGCCCTCAGTTAACTAGGGTGGTCTGGACTCAAACTGTCCACTGAGAGCAGGATGCCATTCTGCTCTCCAGCCGTGACGTTTTTCTACCCTCTCACTACTATTCTCCCCTCCATATCAGGTTCCCTTATGGCATAATTCCTCTCCTCTTGGAGTATCAAGAAAAAACATGGGAGCCTAAATTTTTAGTTCTGAGATTTCCTTAAAAATCCACAGCAGAGCTATTGCCTTTGGTGCCATTGTGTAGGCTGACTTCCTGCAAGGATTGTGCCCCATGAGTTGCCATGGTTCATTTGCCAGGCGCCTGTTCTCCAGCACAGAGGTATAGGTTTTCGCCATCAGTCAGTGAACACTGTTGGTGTTGACCTTCTAGTTCGGCACCATTTAGGGAATGGTGCCTCTCACGCTGTACTGTGAATGGGAGGCGTGAGTGGCGTGGAGTGCTGTGAGGGGAGGGCACCGGTGTTTCATCAATAAAGGTCGTAATCTCATCACGGAAGAAGCAAGCACTGGAGCCAGGGCCCCGAGCCATTCCGGCTTCTAGAAACTGCCGAAGCGTACTAAACTCATCCTCAGGGTAACGTCGACGGGGATGGTAGCTACGGAACTCTGGAGGCAGAAAACTGGAGGGTCCTCCATGTTTGTGTGGAGCAACCACCCGAATGTCATCAGATGAGGACCACTTGTGAAGGAAGGAAGGAGTCGAACGATGGGAGGAAAAGATATTGGTTTCATCGTGAGACATCCTCCGGGAGATAGGAACCTGAAAGGAAAGTCAGTGGAGAAACAGCAGCTGAAGAATATAGATTGTTCTCCATTGATAGAAATGTCCAATAGCGTAAACATTTTAGGAGTCTAAATGAAAGAAAGAAATCTGAGCCAGTTAGCACATTCCTCTCTTCTCTTTATATAACAAGTCCCAGATGATTCACATGTCATAAGGGATACATGGTAAAGTGTTTCAAGTAATTAAATTTGAACTGTCTTTAAACAAATGTTAACACTACGAAACTTAAAAGATTCTCAAGAATTTGTTAATCGCGCCAATGCCTTCCCATTAATGGGCTAGAATGCCTGATGCAAGGATCAGGTTTACTTTTTCCTATACAGAATAGACTGCTAGGATATCTGTTTTCTCAGCATGCAAAAGCCATCTCAAGATGCGGAAGATCAGAGAAGGCTCTTGTCAGATATATTTGCTTTGAAATGTATGGTTATTTGAATTTTCTAATTATTCTTTGTTAATGTGACTGTAACAAGTAGCAACCTCCGCTCATAATGCTATTTTACAAAAAATATAATTCCCTTCCTCTTTCTTTCTTTCTTTCTTTCTTTCTTTCTTTCTTTCTTTCTTTCT